ATGGAGTCTGCATTCATCAGAGGTAGATGGCTGGGGAATGCAATGGTTATTTAATGCATTCATTATACAATAAGCATTTTTTGGCAATTTACCAAATGGAAGGTAAAAACATCATATCAAAGTTATACATGATATAAAGCTATATAGCGCTGTAAAGGAGGTGACTACCCCTTTTACCTCAGGAGAAGGTGAAACACTGGAGTTGTCAATGTCTGGATTTTCAAACATACTGACTCTAAGAGCTGGTGCTTGGGCCCTTCAGTCTAATCTTGGACTAGTGCCTGGGGGTTTTGAGGAACCGCCCACTCCCCATGAAAGAGTGAGTCTGAAGATAAATTTGAGTGTCAGACACAATACTAAACTCTCATTGTCCCCTGTCTGTAATGACTGAAGTTTTATTACTCAGTCAGTATGTGTAGTGTCTGCTTTACTCTCTTCTCTTGGTATAAGTGCATTCCCAAGAGGCTACTAAACTCCTTACACAAGCAGATTTTGAGTCATTCTGACCCAAGATATTCCAAGTTATGCACGGATACTGGTATTGGATTTAGTTGAACTACAAACACAGCTATACCCATCAGTCTACAAGTATCTAAATAAATTACTCCAACTCCTTGTGTCTCTGTTTTTAAAAAGGATATTTTAAAAGCATAAACAGTCATCAAGATTCAGTTTTGTTATGATCTTTCATGGCCATAGTTAAGTTGAGAGACACAGACAATTATGGAGTTTATAATATCAAAAATAAGTTTGAATACTGCCTGTATTTAGAAAGCCACAAGAGAAGAATTTTACTCCCACACCAAGAACAGAAGCCACACAAATTACAAAATCAAAACCTTTTTAACTCATTGGAGATTCTTTAAGGCTGATGTTGTGAGGTAAGCAGGTAAATTGAACTCCAGAAGGGAATAAGTCTCTTGAGGAAATTCAGGACATATTGAATGTTGTACTTGCAGCAGATCATGGAAAAGAGATGAGGTAGGTGTGAGCACAGGTACATGCAGACGTGCAGGTGGTAATTGGAAAATGCTATGGGCTCATAACAACCATGTACTGCAGTCTTCTCTCATGCAAAGTGAAAATATCTTTTCTTTGAGGGGAAACTGAGAAAAAGTCTTTCACTTCATGTTCCCAGAACAACATCCACTACCACTGGGATAAGGATAAAAGCAGAAGCCCTCTGGCACTAATGGAAAAGCTAGAAACCAGTCCATGCTTTTGACCCAGGTGAAGATCTGTGGCTATTGGGGAACGGGAGGATCTTCCTTCCCCCATCCATCTCGCCCTGGTCATAGAGAAAGAGCAAGAAACCCACTAATATTGAAAAAAAAACCTTTATTGATTCAAAGCAAAAAGGTTGCCTGCTGTTCAGGTAAGGAGAAGATACATGCAAATACTCAAGACTCTTCATCAGTGCAAAGAAGTGTTGCACTTCCATGAGGAAGAGGAGCAGAAGCTTTGAGTCTCAGGTAAACAAGATCTGGTTAAGACTGACTAAAATAGGAGAACCAAGACATCTTGTATTCCATCAGGTAGAAAGCAGAATCAGTTACCTGTTGAGAGAGGAGAGTAACCAAACATGTGGTGCAGGTGAACACACCTGAAATCTGACAGTGGAGCAAGAACACTGGGAAAAATTCCGGATGTCAAGGCCCCACATTAAACAGCACATTAAGCACATATTCTACCACTGGGGCTATTCAAAGTCTGTGGTGCATTTAAGGCAATCATAGTAAACATGTAACCCAAACCAAACTGCTATTTAGGTAGACTAAAACTCTTATGTTAAGAGCAGGTCAGAAGAATAAATATGGCTTCTTCTAGGTATAAAAAATATTTATCTAACTCTCTACTATTCCTTTAATAAAAGTTTTGTTTTCAGTCAAAAAGTACAAGATAGGCTCTGGCTGGGTGGCTCAGTTGGTTGGAGTGTCATCCCATGAACCTAAAGGTTGTGGATTTGCTTTCCAATCAGGGCACATACCTAGGCTTCTAGATTGCAAGTTTGATCTCCAGTCAAGGAGCATACAAGATGTGACCAATCCTTGTTTATCTATCACATCAATCTCTCTCTCAAATCAATAAACATATCCTCAGGTGAGGACTTAAAAATTACAATAAAAATCAAGTCAAAACAATTCATTACTAAGCAATATATCAATCAAATGAACCAGAACAGAGATTAATGGTCCATATATTGGAACTATCAGACAAGGGCTTTGAAATAATTATAGTTAGTATATTGAGGGATTTAGGGAAGAAAGTTAAAATAGGAATGAAAAGAGTAAAAATATAATGAGAGAAATGGAAAAGGTTTAAAAAATGAGTCACATAGAAATGCCTGAAATTAAAGCCATCTAGCATTAAAAAGACAAAAGGAAGCAATGTACCAGGATTTGTGTAATATATATCCTCTGAGGAGAAAACACCAGGATGGCATTAACCATAGGAGAAATGTAGCAACAGGAATCCTTATAAGAGAAAGTAGAATGCAAGTCAGGGTATGCTGGAGCCATTAGACCACAGAGGAAGCTTGCGTGATTCTACAAGAAGGAAAGGAAAGAAGTCTGGGTAGAAGCTTCTTCCACATGTGGGGTATAAGGAAGCTCTCTAACAGAGCATAAAATGACATAAAAGAAGGTTCAGAATAATTTTGGTCATCAGCAGAAAAATGGAAACAACCTGTAGATGCCCTTTGTGTGAAAAATAATAAATTTAATGTGATATGAGCATATAACGGCAGACTTAGCACAATAAGTAACATATATATTTCCAAACATGCATTTACATTTGAATAAGAAAACTGACAATGCATTACCAATTTGAAAACCCATGCATTTTAATATACTAGAAATAGTAACAAAAAGTAAAAGGAATAGGACTGGAGAAGTAGAAAAAAAGAAAAATAAAGTATAATTAAAATAAATTAAAGGGAGACTTTGGACATAATAATGTCATGAACTTAAGTCTGTGTGAATTTCTTGGAAAAATAGAAAGAGAAAGAGCTGTCTGTGTTTTTTCCTTCAAATTTAAGAACCATTTTCTGATTTCTCAAAAAGGGAGGTGAGGGTATTAGCATATCTGCCCTTCTTTCTACCTTCATCTTCACTAATCTTTACCTTTACTTTTATATTGTCAACGTTGATAATATTAATATTCTCTTCAGCATCTATTTTTTGTCTTTCACATTTTGTGTACAAGTTGACTCTAAACAATTGCAGCTGCCAGAGAGCGTTTGCATCATTGTGAGCATGTAAGTAGTATTCTTTGCAGTCAGGTGCCTTCCTGGGTTTATGTCTTCTCCTCTAATCATCAAATGTGAACAACTAAGCCACTAAAATGGACGTGTTCCTTGGATCCATGTTGAACAGATTGATATTTCCTACTTAGTATCAACTACAGGATATCTGGAGCCATTTTTATTTGCATCGTCTTTGGATGATGATTTTTTGGAGGTAAGAGACTTTCAATTTTTTTTGTTTATAATTTTTTGAGATAGAAACATATGCTCTTTACTAATTCATTGATATCACCATTTTCACTTTACTTGTTACTTTACTTGTTAGGTGGAAGTAGTCCAATATTTTTGACATTATTTTTAGTATAGATTTTTTTAACTTCACATAGAAAAAAGCTTTAATGGAAAAACACTAAAAAAACAAAATAAACACTAAAATAAGAGATTAAACACATAAGAATTTATATAGGAATGTGTGCTTAGTAATTAAATGTGTGATTAAGAAATAATATATGATCCTATGAAATAGCTTATTTTATAATTAGTGATTTTTTGAAAATGAGCACATATATTGTGCACTCACTAGCTGATATGCTATGTGCTAAAAGTTTTACACATCTCATCTCATTTATTTTTCACAACATTTCTAGTTGTGGAGTTTAATCATGGTTTCCAATGAATAGATGAAAGGAGACTTGAAGTGTTCATATAGGTTTTTTGAAGGGCACACAGCCTAGGAGGTAATATGATTCTGGATATCATGATCTGAGGCGTTAAAGATCTAGGGGTGTTGCCAACATAAACTTTTTCATTTGTTAGGGTTGTAGGTTTCTGTATATGGTAGTTTGCTAGGGCCGCCATAACAAAATGTTGCAGAATGGAGCAGGAAGTCCAAGATCAAGGTGTGAACAGGCGTGGTTTCTTCTGAGGCCACTCCCCTTGGCGTACAGGCCTTCTTGTTATGTCCTCACATAGTCATCTTTCAGTCTGTGTTTTCTGTATCTTAATCTTTTCTTCTTACAAGGACTCCAATAACAATGGATTAGGAATCATTCAAAAAACCTAATTTTCTTAATCTCCTTAAAGATCTGCTGTATCTAAAATATAGTCACATTTTGAAGTACTAGGGGTTAGGACTTCATAATTTGGGTGGGACACAATTCGGCTCATAACATTAAATATTCTTAATATATTGATGGCAACTAAGAGTAGAGCAATTAAGAAAACAGACTCTAAACACATTTGCCCAGGTACAGTCCTGTTCTGTGGGATTTTCCTAATCTATGCTAGATTTCTCCACTTATAAAATGGGAATAAGAGTATAGCCTTTAGAATATAACCTAGTGCATAGTAACTAGTGAATAAAATTTAGCTTAAAATAAATCTTTACAAAAAGTAAATAATTTCTGAATAGATTATATAAACATGGCAGAAAGTTGTTCGCCCACATATACAGTGGAAAAATTATACCATAAATCATAATTCTATCCCATACTGCCTGAATTTATATTCTTATATTTTGAGAAATTTACAAGATCCATGGGGTCAAAATTAAAATTTAGCTTAATAATAAATATGTAATAAAATTGTGACATACAATAACAAATTATATTAGCAAGACCTAATTTGATGAATTAATTTTTAACAATTATTCATAATAAATATGGTATTAGCACCTAACTATTTTTGAGAATAGAGGACAGAGTGCTGTTAAATTATTTTTAAAAACCAAACAACCAATCATTTTGTAAAAATAAAAAAAAAGAGCTTCTGTCGTGAGTGGCACACGTAAAGCAGCTTGATTGTTCTACGTGTTGAATCAACATCGAGAGATTTCGGAAGCATAATTTTTTGGTACCTGGGCAGCTAAGTGATTGTTGGTCCTGGCGCCCTTGACATTCTAAAGGAGAAGAAAAAAAGATGTTTAAAATATTTTTATGGATCAAATATATTATCAAAGGAATTATTTTATTTGTTTGTCTGTACATTTTATCTTATAAAGCTAAAAAATGAAAAAAAATTAATTTCCTGAATTCAAAACATCAGTTCATCTTTTAAAAAAGTGCCTTTATTTCATACCTAAAAGGGACCATAGGTTAACTTAGGTTAACAGAATTCACTGGTAAAAAGATTCAGAAAACGAAAGTACATAGAATATTATTCTATATTTCAGGAAAGAGTCTAGTATCTCTAAATTTATATCCAGAGCTATTTTTTAATCCACTAAATGTATTTGAGTCCTCTTGAAGAACTGTTGAACAGCCTAGAATCTTCCACTATTACTTCGCGTGGGTGAATGTGTACTTTGTGTCCCTGTCTCTGTATTTCTTGACTGACTCTAATGGAATTTTTATTTATATATTTTTGTTTTTTAGACTTCTGTTTGCTTTTAATTAAACAATGTTAGGGATAAAAGTAACTGCATTTTATCTAGTAATTCTCCTTATCCTAAGAACCCATAAAAAAGTAGAAAAGTAACATTTTCAGGATTTACATGTGCCAGGCATTTAACACATATATTTCATTAAAAGAAATGAAGTGCCTCTGAGATGATTAAATAAATAGTAATTATCAGAATTAGAGTGATCGCTGTAAGTCTCATAAAGACTTGGTGACTATATTCATGTCTATTCATATCCTGCACATTTTTTAATTGGACTCTTTTTGCTATGGAGTTATATTCATTCTTTATATATCTTGAATCTTAGCCCCTTATCAGATATATGATTTGCTGTGCAGAAGCTTTTTAGTTTGATGTAATACTACTTTATTTTTGCTTTTGTTGCTTTTGTTTTTGGTGTTAAATTTAAAAAAATTATCACCACGGCCTAGGTCAAAGAGCTTACCACCCATGTTTTCTTATAGGAATTTTATGGTATTAGAGCTTATATTAAAGTCTTCAATCTGCTTTGTATAAATTTTTGTGTATGGTAAAGAGTGGTGGTCCCATTTCATTTCTTTGTTGCTGTCCAGTTTTCCCAACACAATTTATTGAAAAGACTCCTTCCCCCATTATATATTCTTGGTTGCTTTGTTGGAAATAAATTGATCATATGTGTATAGGTTTATTTCTGGTCTCTCTCTTCTGTTTCATTGATCTATGTGTCTGGTTTTATGCTAATACCAAACTCTTTTAATTACTAAAGCTTTGTAATATACTTTGAAATCAGGGAATGTGATGCCTTCAGCTTTGCTATTCTTTCTCAAGACTGGTTTGGCTACGTGAGGTATTTTATAGCTTCATGCAAATTTTAGGATTGTTTGTTCTACATCTGTGAAAATGTTAGTGGAATTTTTATCAGGATTGCATTGAATCTATATTTTTGGGGGTGGTTTGGGTATTTTAACAATGCTACACCTTTTAATCCATGAGCATGACAAGTTTTTTCATTTATTTGTGTGTTTTTAAGCATCTTTCATCAATGTTTTATTGCTTTCAATATTCCAGTCTTTTACTTCCTTGGTTAATTTTTTCCTAGATTTTTTATTCTTTTGATGCAATTATAAATGGAATTGTTGTCTTAATTTTTCATTCTGATAGTTCATTATAGTATATAGAGATAAAACATATTATTGCATATTGGTTTTGTGCCCTGTGACTTTATTAAATTTGTTTATTAATTCTAATAGTTTTTTAATGAAATCTTTGGGATTTTCTTTATACAGAATTATGTCATCTATAAATAATGACACTTTTACTTCTTTCTTTCCAATTTAGATACGATTTATTCTTTTTTCTTACCTAATTGCTCTGGCTAGGACTTCTAATATTTTGTTGAATAAAAGTGGTGAGAGTTGGCATTCTTGTCTTTTTTCCCTTTGATATTGCAGAAAATATTTTGAGCTTTTCATCATTATGTATATTTACCATGTGTTTGTCATATATGGCCCTTATTATATTTAAGTTCATTTTCTCTGTGCCTGTACTGTTGAGAGATTTTATCATAAATAGTTTTTGAATTTTGCCAAATGCTTTTTCTGCATCTTTTGAGATTATCAGAATATTTTCATCCTTCATTGTGTTAATGCGGTATACCACATTGACTGATATGCAGATGTTGAACAATCCTTGCATCTCTAGAATAAGCCCCACTTGACCATAATGCATGGTTTTTAATGTATTGTTGAATTCAATATGCTAATATTTTGTTGAGAATTTTTGGGTCTATGTCTATCAGGGATATTGGCCTATAATTTTCTTTTCTTGTGGCATCCTCTCTCGTTCTAAAATAAGGGTAATCCTGACCTTGTAAAATGAGCTTGAAGTATTATATTTTGCCATGTATACTGAACATGTTTTGCCCAAATTTTGAGGGAAAAATAAGTATGTGCATTATAGGTGGAAAGTACTAATTCTGTGTCTATACAAATGTTTTTTAATTCTTTTATTTATGGTTATGTGTTAAAAGTGTAACTCTGGAAAGCAATACTAATATCTGTATATAAAATAATACCCTGGAATATAATAATCAGTTTTGTTCCTAAATATGAATAAATAAAAATTGAATTAAAATGAAAGAGTTTTTTCCTGAAAGTTTGAGCCAAAAATGTGGATGTGCATTATACACAGTAAAATATGGTAATTGCCTCTTCTTCAATTTTTTGGCAGAGTCTGAGAATAAATGATATTAATTTTTCTTTGAATGTTAGGTGAAATTCATCAGGGAAGCCATCTGGTCTAGACTTTTGTCTTTTGAGAGGGTTCTGATTACTGATTTAACTTTTCACCTGTAAATGATCTGCTCAGATTTTCTATTCCATTAAGATTCAGTCTTGTTGGCTGTAAGTTTCTAGAAATTTATACATTTCCTCTACTTTGTATAATTTGTTGCTGTATATTGTTTATTTTAGTCTCTTATGATCCTCTCTATTTCTGGTGTGTCAGTTGTAATATCTCTTTCATTTCCCAGTTTACTTACTGGAGTCTTGTCATAGTGAATCTAGCTAAATGTTTGTCAAATTTATTTATTTTTTCAAAGAAACAGATTTTAGTTTTATTAATATTTGTATTGTCTTTTTAGTCTCTATTTTATTTATTTCTGCTCTAATATCTGTTATTTTTATTTCTAACTTAGTGCTTTTTTGTAGGGGCTAAAATTATTAATACTTCTCCTACAGCCTTCTTAGTTCTCCTAGCTGTGCTGTCAGGGGAGTGCGGCTGTGTTATGGCACTGTGTGGAAAGCATTTCAGAGACCCATGTGGGAGGTGTGGAGTCTTATCTCATAAATTTAGTAGGATACATTTGTGTTTTCATTTGTATATTGAAGTGGAAGTAAACATAAAGGGCTGTCTTGGGTTCAGCTCATTGGCTGCCTTCAGCAAAGCCAAAACAAAGGCCGGTGTCCAGAGTTTTTGTTTCATATTAAAGCTTAGTCCTTTGAAGTCTTGGATCCCATTCAGGTAGCTTAGCACTGTTCCTGGCTGTGCTGCTCTACCCAGGCTCCTGCCTGGAGCTTGGATTCAGAATTCATGTAGCTGTCAGTGGTACACCTGCTAGACCTGCAAGGTTACCACAATGAGAACTTGTGAACAAATCTGGTATGCTAGAAATTTAGGAGAGATAGAGACGAGAAGAGCCAGAAATTCTGAAAGAAGTGCCTTTATTTGATGTTGCGCTTATAGGCCACCCGAGGCTGGACAAACCGCAGCCTGGGTGGGGGGCGGGCAAGAACGGGTTTTTTTTTAAGAAAAAGCATGGGGTTTGTGGAGGAATGAGGGAGGTGTGATTCTCTTCTTTTGGGCAGGTGCCTCAGGGTTTCAGAATGTAAGCCAGGACAATGAATTAGGTAAAGGGCCAGCTGTTTCCAAGTTTAGGAAGGTCAGTATGACCACCAGCCATTGTGGCTGGAGTCAGATGACTGTTGTAAGAAGTGGGAGTGAGTTTCGATTAAACCGAGGGCTATGGAGTGAGTCAGGATAACTGAGTCATAAGCAATCCAGAGGGTTGGAAAACTGGCCTGACTGGATCATGAGTAGTCTGGCTGGTTGGAACACTGGCCTGACCCTTTCAGGGTGAGTATGTGTTCCCATGTGAGATAATATAAGCTGAGTTATATTATCTGAAGTTGGGATGGACTGAGTGCTTTGTCAAAATAAGTGAATTGCTAAAATTTTTTAAGCTTCTGATTGCTCTGCCTCTTGGCCAATCCACTATTTCCCCAGGCTAGACTGACAGGTCTCTATGGTTGTCACTTTGGCTTCTATTGCCTGCGTGCTTACCTCCTCTCGCTGTCCTCAACAGTTTGATACCTGAGGGAGGGCTGATTCCTACTGAGGGGGAAGGAGGGTGTTAATACCCTTTGCAGAGAAATGCTGCAATCTCCTGGAATACATGAAGCTGTAGTTTCCTGGTGAGACAAGCCAGCTTATGATTCTAGTTGATTATGTTTAGTGAGATCTGTTCCCTTTGCTTCTTTCCTTTATTAATAATGAGATAACTACCTATGGTAATAGCTGTGCTGATAATCAAATTAACAGAGACAAATTACCAGAAGAAATTCAAATTTTTAATACATGAGCATGGGGGTGGTTCACAAAGCATGAACATTCCAAAGACAATGAGGCAATATTGGGTTTATGCAACATTTTGGACAAAAAGAAAAGGGGGTGGGGGATGGGATACTTGATTTCAGAAGTGGGAATGGATAATTTGCAGGTATTTGAGGAAGAGCAGACCCTACATAGCAAGTAAATTCCTGCCAGGCAACTCAGAAACAATGGGACCCAGTGGGTTTCTAGCTAACAGGTCCCTGGCCGAAGCCCTCTTATTGAACATACTTAATTGAAATGAGGCTAAAGCAAACATCCTAAGATTTCCTTCCTGAAGCAGGTTTTCTGTCTGAATCTCTTGGGCAGGAAAGGGGACAGCGTCCTGGTTTCTTTCTAAGTCTTGT